AGCCGACCTGGCGGGTGTCAGAGAATGCCCCCCAAATCAACTAGTCTAGCTGCGGCTGCAAGGAGCATCACGAATCCCATTCTGGAAAGGGGACCCCCCTAGTCGTGGCCTACACAGGATCGGAGAACCGAAGGCCCCAGGAAACGCAAGTCATGCCTTGGTCAACATGCAACCATGCCTTCGTCACGCAGTGAGTCGCAGAAGCGGACTGGCGTTTTCACCTGGGCAGCAGGGGACAGGTTTTTCTAGGATTTCTGGTTTTAAGGTTCTCGGGTGCAAACTTTAGAAGGCTTCGGGATGGGCAACCACTGGGGATCTACAGGGGAACCACAGGGGAACTACAAGGGAACTGCAGAGGGAACTACAGAGGGAGCTACAGGGGAACTCGAGGGAATAGAATGTAAGTGCTTATGCAAAGCAACTAAACTTAAAAACTGAAACCTAAACCCGAAACCCTATCCCTAAACCCTGGACCATTGACCTTCTAAAAGCGTCTGCCTTGTGAAGAGTGTTATTTTTTCTACGGGCCGGCTGTGAGTCGGACATTTAAGGTTCTAGGGTGGAAACCTTATGAAGGCTTCGGGATGGGAAACCATAGCAAAACTACTGGTGAACCACAGGGGAACTACAGAGGAAGTACCAGGGTGCTACAGGGGAAGTCGAGGGAAGGCAAGGTAAGTGCTTTTTAAAAGCAATTGAGTTTAAAAACACAGAGAATACCAAACATGAGTGATATTTGATATTACAGGGTTGCAGTCCTGACTTCTGAAGTCGGCCAGAGGTAAATTACGTATATAGGGACAGCTAACCAGTGGAACCCAGCACTGACGAGCAGTGAATGGATGCAGGAGCCGGGGATCACCGGAAACTACATGTGGGTTTCACTTCGTTGTTTGGGGCTTGGATACAGCGCGAATCCTGTCTTCCAATACGGAATAGTTCATGTGGTATGCGTATATGGCGCGGTCACCGCAGCCATTGCCGCGCAGACACGCACCGACGTTAGGGGTTTAAACTTTGCAACCCCCACAACTGTAAACTGAGGAGCTGAAACTCAAACCTACATAAGTAAACCCAAGTAGTATACATATATATATATATATATATATGTATATACACATATACATATATATATATATATACATATATATATGGCTCAGCTCCAACAGGGAACCCAGGCCCAAGCCCTGGAGCCCTGTATCCCAAAACATAAGCCACGAACCTTTGCACTCACCCTATAAGCCTAAAAGCTCTTAGCCCAATTCAATGTTTGGAGTGAAGCAACGGAAAAGCTACAGTCTTATGCTACAGTCCAACCAAATAATCCACAGGGTCAGGGTTCACGGCTTTTTGCCCTCTTGCCGCCGCCAGTAGCAAGCATGTTGTGGCCCGTGGCATGGTCGTGCGAGCTGCTCGAACTAGCCCTCAAAAAGGCATGCCACTGCCAATTG